TACTTTTCTCGCTTATAGGATTTATATATTATAGTCTATATAAACCGTAAAGTTTTTGGTTAAAAAAAGCGTTTCAGGCGAAAAGCTGGAAAGAATATTTGTCCTCAGATTAATATACGAATCTGTCTCAAGGCATTGTAAAATCCAGAAAACATTTCATCGCTTATTTTTTTAAATTTAGCGTCTATCGCAATCGTTCTAGGCTCGGGGAAGGCGGAATTTATTTATTATTAGTGAGTCGAACAATGTTAAATCCCGACCTTTGGCTGCCAGCTATCCTCCGAGCAATCCCTCTTCCAAATTTCGGGTCAAACGTTTTGATTTACGGGTTTGATAGAACCTCGAGAAGCCTCTGGCGGTTGTTCGGTAGTAGTTGGATCATCCTAGGATAAATGTTTCTCTCTTAAGTATATTAATTATTAATACTAAGAATACTATATACAAGTGCTCTCTACCTTACTTAAAAAAACCCATTGTGTTTCAAAATAGCTAAATGAGCTCTAATCTGCTTTATGAGAATTCCCTAAACCCTCCTAAACCTTTTCGTTGGTTTGGGGTTGACTTCTTCTGCAAATGTGGGTGGTTTACTGGGAACTCTGTATTACTAGGTAATATAGGTTCTGTATGTCCGTGAAGCACCAAATTACTCACTTCCGTTTTTCCAGTGGTGCTGACTTCCTCGATGGCGGCCGTGTAGAAAACGAATTCCGGCTTTTCGCTGAGGGGAATTGTGTTTTCGCTTTTCCTGGGAATCTCAAACCATTATAGGGCGACATTATTATGAATTCATTGTTAGACTTTGTCTGCTTTTACAGATTTTTGGTACGAACTCTTGCAAGGCATTTTTGGTTGCAATGTGGGGCAATATTTTTCTATGAATGTAATGTTAGCCGAAAGAGGTTTGGAGAAGTTTAAACTAGCGTCATATTGTGGTTCCTCGCACAGATTTCGATCACTTTAAAAAGCGACCGTCAACAATTCGAAAAATGAAATCTGCTTAGAAATTTCGAATTAAACGCATTTTTATTCAGAAAACAAAACCGTTTAAAGGCCAAAAATCGAAACATTAAGCTTTTGTCACTCGGACTTTCCGCTGTATTTTCAAAAGATGTTTCAGCCATTAGGAGAGCGAAACAAATTTGAATCAAATTGAATTGTAGGTTTGGTCATTTGTTCCTCTAATTTTTCGATTACTGTCAAGGTGGTCGTCAGTAAAAAGGCAACGGTAAAACTTGAGAGCAAAATTTTTGAGTTAAATGCATTTTTGTTCAGCACAATTCAGCGGCTTGAAATCCGTTGAAGTGAAAAATTTGGATCCGTCACTAGGATTTTCACATCTGTTTTGGAAAGTTGTTCGTGCTGGTGTGATAGGGTACTTCAAACACATAAAGCAAGGTTAATTCTTGACTGCGGGAATAGGGATAACTTCCATTCCCTCCAAAAGCAGCTGTCAGCAAATGTAATATAGTGGAACATTTTAATTAAACGTGTTTTGTGGTTAAAACAACAAAATTGTTTAACCCGAAAATCGCAAAAAATAAATGTGGATCCTAGCGTTTTTAGATGCGTTTTCGCTCCGCTTTCAACGATTTTTTGTAGCGGGCGTAAACAAGCTGGAGAGGAAGATCACTGTGGATCCCGTAATATGCTCGCAATGATTTCTGATTATCTGACCAAGACCTGCTACCCTAACCTGAACAGAGAAAATTATTTGAAAGTTTGAATAATCTAATTTTTGTATTCCTAGGACAAGGGGTTTACAGCCCATACAAGGGTAACCATTTGGGTTAGGCCTTCTCGGTGCATTTTCGATGATGTTTCAGCCCTATGGTAAGCGAAAAACGTTTGGAGAAATTTAATGGATCCTGATTTGGTAGAAACTGGTAATCGGCTTTTGGAATAAGCTGTCTAATCATTCTGCAAATTAATTAATGATGTCAACTTCAAAAATTTTTTATCGCAAAGTGATGCGAAATATTTTTCGACTTTATCCAAAGAAAAATGAGGCAAAAACGCATTAATTTATGGCTGCTAGCCTTACTGAAAGAAAAAATGAATAAGAAACGTTAGTCACTCTTATACCATGGAGAAATGTTTTCAACGTAGCTAGTAGATGGACTCCATTCATCTTATTTTCTATTTTAAATTTAAACACTGAAATTGTGAAAAGTCAGTTTCGAATTATGTTTCAGTTTCATGGATAGCGAAACGACTTGGGCGAATATTAATAAACACCAGAGTTATGGGTGCAAAGACCTGGATTTCCACAAAAACCCTCCATTAATCCGCAAACGGGAAAATTTTTAACTGTATTAAACGCTTTTTTGACTGTTAGAACAAAATTGTTAGAATCGATAGCGCCCAGAAATTGGTTTTTGCTTTTGGACAGAATGTTTCATTTAAATCAAGCAATTCGCGCAATTGTTGATTTATTCGGATTCGGCGGATCAAGATTGATAATTATTTCTTCAAATCTATGTACGGTGCCAAATTTATCAAAAAACCAGCGCCCAAAACCCGCTTCGCGGGCCTTGGGCGCTGGAATTGTGCCTTTGCATGAAAAATTTGACTTTCCGATAGCTCGGGTCCTTCGGACCCCTTCCCCCCACCGACCACACACGCGCGGGCAAATTGCAAGAATGAGGAAATTTGTATTTTTTTCATTTTATGCAAATTACCCCCAAAAATGAATAAAACCGGCTTTAACTTTGTAAACTTGTATTTTATCGAAATTCTGAAAACGCCATCGGAAAGAGGAGGGTCGATTCCCCCAAGTGACAAAAAATCAGCGCATTTGGGACACGGGAAGGCCCTCAAATCGGGCCTCGAAAGTGACATCCACACACACACACACACAGAGATACACTCCAAAATTATATAAGGTAGGATGTTGCAACCTTTCCCTAAGTCGTCTCGTCGAGCTCTACAAGATGCACTTGCTCAAATATCTGGGTTCGGTGTCCGCCCCAAAACATTCCCTAGTAAATATGTTTCGAATTTGTGCATAGAGAGCATGGATAAAACGCGTTAATTTCTTGAACATGCTTAAATGAAATTGCAATGCATTAACAAACAGTACAGTAAATGTTCGATTTTGAAACAAAACAATATCTTGCAAATTCCAGAAATTTTGCGACGGCAAAACATGTTTCAAACATTTGCAAATGACGACGTTTTCAACAAAGCTTAATCCGCGAAGATTCTGTTGTGGACAGTCTATATTTTCTTTTTCTGGCCTCATAATTAAGAAAGAATAATCATACCTAGTCAAAAACACTCATGGTAGTTATTTGGTTTTTACATGGTTCTTGTTCATTACCGGTGGATACCCCTTTTCCGTTCCGCATAGTGCTATTGGGAGATGAATCAAGAACCCCCGCTAATGAATCAGAACCAATTATCGGCTTGTTTTTACCTCAAAATCGGCATTCAAGATGATGGGCGGGTCGGTGGGAAGGACGTGCTTTATTTGGAAGTCAGGGTAGGTGGTTGTCTAAAAAATATTAGAAAATCTTTGATCGTCACTCAAGATAGTATTTAATTAAAGATCTTAGAAAAAGATTCATATTAATTATTAAATGCATATGAAAAGGATTACAACTACACGAAGTTAGCGCTGTTCATTTTAACCAGCGGAAAGTGGCGAACGTGCACTTGAAAATCTTAAAAAGGTGTTACAAAAATTTAAGTTTATCGAGAATTGCTAATGGCTATTGGTGAGACGATCCCTCTTTAATTTTGCGAGCTTAAAATTATCCTAAGATTAACAATACTAAAGCACGAATTACTTAATATTGTGTAACTATTTAAAGACTTACTTAGGGGAAATTTAGAGGTATCTTAGTCAATTTAGCTTAATTGAATTGTTTTAATGCAGTAATTTCGTTAATTAAATTCACCTCATGATACTCCTCACGTCCCTGGGTGGTCTGCTCGAATTTTTCCACCCGATTAGCGAAGCCAGGATCATGGATTTCGTTTTGTTGGCTGTGCTCGGTGGGCACTAAAACATATATATTTAATTTTTTCTCTTAGATATAATGTGATTCTTATATTTTTTGAGGCCCTTACAAATCTTTGGTCGAATCACTTCCGCTTCCGAGATCGGAAAATGCTCATTCACGCCCTCTTCAACGAAACGGTTCGCACACCGGGCTTTACAACTCTAAACCGAATGTTTGAGCCTGGAAAACACACAGATTAACAGAACTAAAGCTAGAAGAATAGCAATCCAAATGTTTCAAGAAATTTATTCGTAGTGGAAAATGGTTTTTTGGGTTTAATCAGATCTGATATCTTTGGTGTTTCTTATCATAATAGATGACGAAATCGCCAATAGATGTTAAAAAGGGCTTGAATTTTTAAATTATCTGTTTGAAATTCATATAAATAAGCACTAAGATTATATGCTTGCTATGGTCTGAATTCGTACAACTTTAATGTTTCATTCAATTTTATAAAACCTGAGGGACTTCGGGTAGTTATTGGTTTCCACTTTTACGCGACAACTAAATACACCTTAGAAAATGTCCATCCGCAAAATGATTTAGTGACAATGAAAAATGACAAGGATACATTTCCTCCTTCCCACCAACGATTTTAGCGTATCTTTATAGTGCAGGTTTTGAAGCTATTTTGGGATTGATTTCAAAAAATTCAGTGGATTCGGCATTTTACGAAAAAATGTTTCACCTTAAATTTATAAACACGTAAAACTTTGTAGTTTAATATTAGGCTCCGACCGTTGGGTTTCTATACCTCCGAATCCGCGAAAAAGTTGAGCGAATCCCCCTCGCATCCACCCCACCAGAAACGCCGACAGGCCTTCTTCGCCGGGTTGAAATACCTTTAAAATATAGTTTTAATCAAAAATAATTTAGATTAAAGCCACCATTTGATCTCCCATTTGTCGCCATTACAATCTTCTTCCAATTTCGGGTCGAGATGCTCGAGACACGGGTCAGCCGCCTGAATTTTGCGTTTTTTTACTTTAAAAAACAAATGTTTCAAAAAATGAATAGTTATAGTTACAAAATTTCCCTTGATATTTCGCTATATTTCGCAGGCGACAATTAAAAGGGCGTTCGCGAGAGACCCGAACTGGCTTGGTACAGTTTTTTCCGACCCTGTTTTTTTTCACGCCATCTGAAAGAGCATGGTCGAATTAGTAGGGTCACACCATTTCGTGAATTTTAAAAATTCATTTTTGGGGTTTAAATGGCCGCTGAAGTTGCGGACCTCAAAAAATTATCTCGAAAACCACGTAGCGGATCTTGCTGAAAATTTGTGGGGATGCCTAATTTGGGATGGGGATCATTTCTCTAATACATTGGAAAGCACGAAAATGGCCGGAACATAGGTAGATTGCGTACTAAAAACAGTTTTTCAGGGTTTTGTTACACCTTGATTTTTAACGTTGTACCGTTTTAAGAACGTTACAACGTTAAAAACTAGTAATTTCGGTCTCCACTTATTCGGTTTTCGGCAGCTGCTGCATTAGTTTTTTGAAAAACATTGGCAATTCATGAGTGGATGGAACACATAATTTTTAAGCCGAGATTTTTCATCATCCGCTCCAAGGTGGTTCATTTACTGCCATTAATCAAATTGCCTTTCTGAGACATTTATGGGTAAACGGAAATTCTCCATAGCTGCGCAAAAATGAGTGTTTCAATAAGGATACCAGTGATGAGCGGCGGCGCAAAACTAATATGGCACGCAAAATTATATGCATTTTGCCGATAAATGATATGCAATGCGCGCGGCCTTGCCCGTACCTGCGATGCGGCGTTGCAAACTTTATACTTTCTGGAAAGACCAGGGTCGGGCAACCGGCCAGGTGTGATGGAACCACCTCGCAACAAATTATGTTTTTTATTTAAAAAACAAAAGAAGGCAGGTTATACTAGGCCAATCCCCGTTCCGATAATTAGGCATGACCTTCATGGCGTCTTCGTTTTCTTTTATTCACTACACGGAGTGGATCAACTTTTAGGACGGCAGATGTGTTTTACCTGTGACGTGCGGCTGCGCAATATCAATGGGGCACCGTATGTGGCGCACAAAGCATGCCATAAAACCATAGAACCAGAGGTGTGTTTATCCTCGGCTTAAACGTGTGTTTTAAGCGAATTATTCTACGAGCGCGGAGCTAAAATCAATTTTTAAGCAAAAACATGTTTCTTATTTCATGACCAAGGAAAAATTTCTAGAAGACTTGATGAATGCCTTCTTTGATGACGCGAATTTCGCGGCAATTCAGAAAAATAAAGAATGGAAATCTACACATATGTTACCAGCCAGCTTGAATTACCGTATTTTAAAATATTGGAGTTAAATGCTTTTTAGCCTATCACCTCCGTTTTTATTTAGCGTAACCGGTTGGCTTTTTGCCAATTCCAGCTTGCGGAAACTACACGAGCTGTCCGTATCCCTTTAAAGAGATGAGGACGGCATCTGTTGAACACCCCTTGGGGAAGGGGGTTCAACAGATGCAGCGGCGAGAGAGGGCGCCCAGGGGAGAGGCGCAGAGATATTTTCTTTCCCGCGCGTAATCGATTGACCTATGCCGCCCCTATCCCTTTAAAGTACCCTGCCCACCTTCACATTCTCGGTGGTCACTTCAACGTCTGGAATCTCCATTTTGCGCTGGGGCTGCGGCTCGGGGATTTTTGGAGGCCACGTGACAAGCGTTGGGGCTAACTGGGGCGCGTCTGTAGTTTGTAGCTTCGGTTCGTCGAATTTTGGATTTTGCGGTCTTCGGGTGATCCAGGAATCACCGGTTTCCTGAAAATATCGATGGTGTATTTAAGGAAATATTTCTAATTATTTTTATTGTCAAAGCAATTTTTCGTTTCGCTTGTGTGGTCCGTTTTTGTGTTGGAAAAGGATGTTCCAGGGTTTAGGGCGGTTTAGACGAATCAAAACTTTATATTATGTAGGGCTGGCAGCATCGGCGAGTTTTTATGAATGTTTCTGTCCCTCTCTCTCGCTCTCTCCCACTCTCTCTCTCTCTCTCGCTCTCTCTCTCTCTATCTCTCCCTCGCTCTCTTGCTTCCTATCGTTCCATTGGTATAATTACGCCGCACTATTACCAAATTCCCCATTCTTTTTATCAATCTCTGTCTTTTTATGAAAATTATAACGCATGCTATTGGCAAAGGGACTACTTTATTAACACAAAATTTTTCCGCGTGGCTTTCCGGTTTCATGAAATCTATTTTTTTCACCCACCTTCCCCCATTGCCATTTCCAAATGTCGGCGGGCACGGTGAATTCGGCATTTTTCTGTTGTGGATGGGCTGTCTAAAAAATCATAAATTAATTTCGAAAAAACCATGTATTTCTGGTAGACTTCGAATTTAGACACGCGCTTCCAATCTTCATTACTAAATGACAAAAATTGAGAATTTGTGAAAAGTCCGAAACATATATATTTTAAAATTTTCGCAGCCGCAATAATGACAAACCGTTTCCAGCTTGAACGTTGGTTTTCCTGGAGGAATTTGACTGGGAATCGGTTGTGGTAGTTCTTGTTTGTTCTGTAAAATTTGATTAAAAAAAATTTTTGATTTTTCTTACCACCGCCTGCGCCGCCTTGGGGGTGCTTTTTGCTATTTCTTCAGCATTATCGATTTCAATAGCAACTGGAGCGGTAGTGATTGCTGAAACATATTATTTAGAGCAAAAACTAGACAGTACAACGCAAAAAGAAAAGTACGGTTAACAACATTTTTGAAATTTGGCAGGTATAAATAATTTGTGTTACGATAATTTCGTAGGTCGGAAGGGAATTATCATCTGTATGTATTCATTTTTAAGTGTTTGAAATGAAACACACTAATTTTACGGTCTATCTGGCCGTATTTTATCTGCTTGGGGTGAAATTTTTATCAGAGCTGGGCACCCATGAAAGCTATGTGCAGTCAGGTTTACATAGCAAAATATTGTGTAATAGAAAAGTTATAGCCAGATTCAGCTTCATTTTGATTAACACATTATAGTTTTGGTGGATTTCCAGCTCGAAAAGTATAGCAAAACCAAGAGGGTACTCTTTGCACCTGGCAATTTTGTTATTATTTGACAAATAACGTTAAAGCCGGGGTTTCTAATCACTTTTTATCGGCAAAACCTTAAAACTGACGGGAAAATGACCTTTTGGCAAAGTAATTTTAATTACTTTTAATTTTAAATTCAGTATTTTTAATTTTAAAAAAATCGGCACAGGAAAATGCGTGCCAATATTTCTAAAAACCCAGTTTGTTATCGAGATTTTTTTATTTTCCAATATTTCGCTATATTTTTCGAATAGAATATTTTCCCGTTTACGATGTTTCAAAAAGGATCTTTGAAGGTTCCAAATTATGTATCGCAATAAAATACAGCAGACAATCTCAAATAAGAAAATATAATTCGCTGTAGCCGGCTTAATCGTAACAGCTCAAATTCGAAACCCACCCATTTGTTTTGTAGTGTTACATTCATGCAGGCAATGAGATTCCGTCTCAAAGATGTTCTTCCCCTCCGCATCCTCCGGATCGCAAGACCCGTCGTACCAAAATGCCTCGCATTCCTGAACATAATCACTTTTCATCAAATTAAAAATATCTGGCTAAAAAATGTTTTTTATTTTTGGGTCAGCGTAGCATCGGCAAAAAATTTAATTATTGAGTCCGCCAACAGAGACTGAGATTTTTCTACGATAGTTATTAAAAACAATTTAAATTAAAGTAAGAGTTCTAAAAAATTGTAGTTAAAGACAACCTAAAAACTTAAAAAGAATTTACAATCGAAAATTTGGGCCAGAAATCGGCTATTTTTAGTCGCAAATCTCGATTTTTTCCAGTTTTAATAAAAAATATTTGTAAGTTTTTACGTTTAGGAAAAGTAAAACAAACAACAGCATAAAAGTACTTAAAGCAACCGTAAGCAACAATAAGTTTTGAACAACTGAATTCTCCCGCTTTTGTGATTGTAACCTTATCATGCCCTGAAAAATATGTTTCTAGCTCTGAGGTACCCCCGGGGTGTGTACAGGGTGGCCCGAAAGTACGTTGACCGGGTTTTTTCGGATTTTCTTAAAAACTATAAGTACTGGCAGGGTCATATTGGCATATTTTATTTCCTATACAATTACCTTCAACAGGGTATTGTCACTTTTCCTATTGACTGACTTAAATTTGGAAAAACTGGCCGAGAAGATTGCTGAAAATGAGGTGCCGGCACGCGGGTACTCGGCGTCGTATTTGCCCCATAACTCAGCGAAGACTTAACTGAGGATGTGAAATTTGGATGGGAACTAGTCAAGACCGAGGCCTTCAAGACCTATCACACCAAAAAATTTAGCCGGCTTTGGTTCTGCCTACAGAAGGGCGACTATGAGCGATCAAAAAACACATGTTTCGAAACCTTAATAGCGGCTCCAGACACTTGCGCTCGAAGTTGCAGGCAAAACAAGGCTATGAATTGTATTCCTTATGCAATTCTTCTAAATTTGGACAGGCGCATGAAAGGCGACACAACCCCAATTTTCCGTTAGGACCTTAATTGCACAGCACATGGCGAAAATTCCTGAAAATGGTAAAATCTAAAATTAATCCCCTTTGGATAAAAACACCCGTGCTGGCTTTCTGAGTCATTTAGGAGGTGTGCCTAGCATTTTGGTAGAGCACGACCTTCCGGTGAAGGCTCAGGACCCTCGCACAAGCGCAAGTGTCTGGAGCCGCTATTAAGGTTTTGAAACACGCATTTTTTGATCGCACATAGTCGCCCTTCTGTAGGCAGAACCAAAGCCGGCTAAATTTTTTGGTGTGATAGGTCTTGAAGGCCTCGGTCTTGACTAGTTCCCATCCAAATTTGAACATCCTCAGTTAAGTCTTCGCTGAGTTATGGGGCAAATACGACGCCGAGTACCCGCGTGCCGGCACCTCATTTTCAGCAATCTTCTCGGCCAGTTTTTCCAAATTTAAGTCAGTCAATAGGAAAAGTGACAATACCCTGTTAAAGTAATTGTATAAGAAATATCCTATGTCAGTATGACCCTGCCAGTACTTATAGTTTTTTAGAAAATTCGAAAAAACCCGGTCAACGTACTTTCGGGCCACCCTGTAAAATCTTTAATGCTGGGCTCGTCCGCTGTTCAAAGAATTTTTCAATAAATAATTTATATCATTTAATTATCGATTGATTTTGCTCAACTATTATTTAGTTAGCGAAATTCAATCACGACCCACCTTTCGCTCCGGGACCCAGTAGAATTTCTCGATCCACGTGGCTTCGATGCACTCGAGGCGTAGCACTTCATCGAAGGGTTGTAGACACGGGTCGACTTAAATTCGTTATTTTATTTTACTTAATTAAAATTGAAGGTAATTAATATTGATTAAGTAAAAATGTAACGGATTTAGCCGCGCCAAATCGGGTCTAGTTCATTAGCGGGGGAGGGCATGTGTGAGCCATAAGGCGATTTAACTGCCTTGAAAATTTAACTGCCAATTAGTTTGTATTATAGCATCGAATATTTCTATAATGTTTTCTAGCAGTTTCAACTACGTAAGTGTCCTGCAAGGTTTTAAAAATGTATAAAATTTGTAAAAATATGCGATTATGGCTTTTACTTGCTAAGACCTCAGATACCTTTTCCAGGAAGCGGATTCTCGGTTTCAGCCGAAATTTCCGGAGTAGATTCCGGAACGGAATATACAGGATCCGGCGTGGTGGCGCTGGTTGAGAATTTCTGAAAAAAAAAGTTTCGAGGTGATGAATATTTGCTACATCGCCGCTCTCTCAGTTCGGTCGAACGTCATTCTGACAAAAATTAAATTCGTAAGCAATAAAAGTTCATACAAAGTCTAAATGCAATTAAAAATTTTTTAGCTGGGTGTGAGGATAAAATCATCAATTCCCACTACCTCAAAAGCGGTTTCTTCGGTTTTCTTCGTCGATTTTGCATTATTATTTTTGTTATCATCGATCGAGATCTGCTCCAAAACGCCGTCCAACTGCTCGTTCCGCTGTTTCACCTTCGCCGCGCACACCTTCTCGCAAATCTGAAAAGTTTGCGTTAGCTGAGACTCGCTCTTTCAGAAACGTCCATTAATGCGCCGATCAAAAGGGTGGCTTGCAGTTTTCCCGAAATACAGATTTTCAAATGAAAAAAAAGTTTTAAACTTGGTTTGCATGGATTTCCCCCGGGGTGGCCAGTACATAAAAATTGCTCGCTATTTCTAATCCGTGGCTGAGATTCTGGTTTCGCATTTTGGGAAATTCACCGCTAAAACAATTAAAAATTTTTGCGAATAATTATCAGCCGAATAAATGGATCCCATTAAGCGCAATTTTTTCCCGCGAGTTGAAAATTTTTATGAAACATCGTTTTGCAAAAAGGCATCAAAAAGTATTTTTCAAAATTTTAGGGCAGTTTCCAGTTTCTGAAGGGCTACTGGGTCTGCCATTTCGCATGTTCAAAAACATGAAGGAACTTTTTGCGTTTTCTAAATTACAAATAAAGTACACAGGGGCGTAGCCAGAAAAAAATTTCGAGGGGCCCCAAAAATTTCGAAAATCAAGACATTAACGAGAAAACAGCGCCGCAGGCAAAAATGTTTGGAAAAGGTTCCATAGCTCTACAAATAGCCGTAAAAACGTTAAAAAAAATAGCGCCGCAGGCAGCAAAATTTTTGAGAAAATAAAATCATAATGGTCCCCCTAATGAAATTTTCGGGCCCCGGCCGATTTCGGGAGCGGGCCCCGGGGCCGGTATTACGCTACGTCCCTGAAAGTACACGTTATCTATCATCTCCTTCACCGTATTGACACCCGATTCCTCACATTATATGCGTTTACTTTGTGAACCTCATCCGAGAACAAATATATTTGTGTCTTCCAAAACCCATATGGCATCGATATTCGTCAAAATTCATAGTCATTCCTTGCCGGTTCCTTTAAGAGCTTTAGTTCTGCGGCAAAATCGGAACATTTAAATACTTCGACAAAATCAAACTCATTAAGTGGAAATTGCGGCAAAGTCCATAAAAATGCCTTCTCAGTCCCTTTAAAGGTCGTAATACTCACGTGCTGATCCGGGAACACATTCCTAGCCGTCGTCTCGCAGCCCCGGTATGTAAATTGGTGGCATGTGGAGGTGGCTTTCTCGAAGTAATATCTACAAAAAAGCCTCGCTTGTGTTAATTGCAATTCAATAATTTTTCCCAACGTTTTGAATTTTGAAGCATTGAATTTTTGGAATGTGAATTTTCTTGCATCTCGGTAGTCACCAAATCGATTAATGGTTTGATAGATCCGCTTAATAAAAAGTCATTCCAAACCTGATCATGATGCCAGGACACACATTTTTTTAACCCATACCACGCAACCAGGAATTAAATGTTATGAATTCTTTCATTGTTTTAAAATTTTTTGTAACATGGATTTTTCAGTTTTGAGGCATATTTTTCTAAACGCGCGCGGTGCGACTTATAATTTCCGACGCTAGCGTTTAAATAATTAAGCGCCAGAATTTCCAAATAACCAGAGCTTTTGGTGAAACACTGAAAATTCCCACCGTGTCTCCCGAATATTCTCATCGCACACATCTTCCAGCTTTCGCTCAAAAAGCTCCTCGCACACTTCTAAAACCAGAAATCAAAGTCCATAAGCTAATCTATAATGAATCCAATTTTTGGAGTAAACAAAATTGATGGGTAGTAACTTTCATTTACCATGTTTTAGTTTGGAAAGATCAAGAAACATGAAAACTATCGCCAGTTAAAGGGCAGCGTAATTACCAAAAATTAATGGCGCATAAAATCACTCAAAATTAATGAAATTAAGATTTAAGTTTTAACACATTTTTTTGCAAATTGTGAATTTTGCCCGGAAATCCGGAAATTCATTATTCTATTTTAACGTTTCAAAGAGGTTTTAATGAAGAAAGGGGTTAGAATTAAAATGTTTTAATTTTGGTTTAAACCGTGATGATAAATTTTGCCCTATTTAGAAACTTACCAGCTGATTGATCACATTTTCCCCCAGCGCACTCGCAGCGGAAAGACCCGAAACTGTTGGTGCAGATGGCCGATGGGGGGCACGAGCCCGGGATACGGCACTCGTCTACGTCTAAAAGATACGTATAATATTAAATTAGTAACATAACTACGAAACTAACCATAAACCTTTTATATACTTAAATGAATAATTAAAGATTCGACAAAAGTAGCAACTAATATTCCTTCTTTGAGAAAATTAATAGCACAGTAGAAACTTGATGTCTGCAATTTTTTGTAATAATCTTTTGCGAAAGCATGTATCTCCGCTAACATCAAATTATCAGTGATTTTGAATTAATCATAATGTAATTTTTCTAATTAATTTTTGATGCTAAAAGCATTATACGTGAAATATGTTAATGTTTCGAGAAAGTACCTAGAAGCCGGTTGAGATCAGAAATTAATCGATGGATCCAGTGTTCATAAGACGGCATTACTAGCGACTGCTTTTTTTGCTACTGCGTTACTTCGCGCCTGAACGCCGCAATTGTGAATGCTTTTCTCAAAATATTCGATGTTTCAAGAAAATGCCAAGATTTTAGATTCGACTTATGTCTAATTTTTGCCACTCGGAGCTTGTAAATCCAGTATTAAAGGGACAGGCAAGTCTTTGCTAAATTTTTTTGGCCACGGATTTTCTTATGGTTTTTGCAACGTATGCGACACGCAACGCGTAGACCGCTTTCCAGCCTTGATTCCGAAATTCAACGGCCGATCCCTTTATATTGGGCAAAATTATCCCAAAAAATAGGTGTTTCGACAAAACGGCTAAAAATTAGACGCTGCGATCATTTAATTCCTCGTATTCGTTTGTAGATAAATAGCTAGCGATACACTAGAAAATCTAAAAATCGAGAAATCATCGCTCACCAACACAAATCCTGCCCTCCAGCCGGAACCCCTTGACGCACGCGCATTTCCCGTCGACGCATCTGAATTTAAGGAATTGAGAAGTAAACGAATCTATTAACGCTATTTAAGTTTAGAACTTCCATAATCTTATCTTTGTTCTCTTTATCGAAAACATCCTTGTTCTCCGTCAATTAACAAATATTTCCTTGCGGCGCTCCTAGACAATTCCGAAACATAAAAAAATGTCAAAAATGTTCTCATCGGGTTTAAATAGATTTATTGCTCGATTCTAGCAGTTGCATAGTGCCAATACAACAAACGTTACAAAATCAAATACAGTGGCCAATTAACCTGCAGAACCTTTTTTATTTAAGAAAAATATTGGTCTAAGCCTGCAACACACTACTACCTACCTTCCATTATGAAATCTTTCTCCGCATTGCCTTACTTATTTTTTGAAACATTAGGCTAAAAATTCGGGAAACTCCAAAAGGTTACTTTTTACTTTTTCTCATTTTCATTACTGTATCATTATTGCTTACCTATACGAAATGCTAATAACAAAAACAATATTTCTATCCATCATTTTGCTACCAAAATCAAGGAATTAGGATCGATCCGATATCCTGGAGATACGGCATTTAAGGCCTATAATTTTGGAGTAAACCTAGTAAGCTAATCCTTGCGATCTAACCCGAGTAGTATTTTTTAAATATATTGAAGTTAATTTAGAGAATCGTAAAATACAGTACCTTCCGTAAAGCGGATCGCAGACCGGGCAATTCCCCGAGGGCTTCGCCGGCGTTTTCTCCGCGAAATTCGAACGTTGCGTGTGCAGGCCGGGGCTCTAAAAAATAAATTAGCATATGAGGCGTTAAAAAGCAGATTTTAAAAATAACACGAAACCAAAAAATCCCCTAAAAATGGTACATGTTTCACATTTTTGCTGGAATCGCTAGGTCACTGCTGGCTGAGTTCATCCGCCATTTCGAATCGTAAACTCGATAATTCTGAATTTTCACTGGGAATGTCGGCCCTCCTTTAAAGGGATGCCCAACCTTTTCGGGGCTCAAAAAGCAAAAACCATGCCGCGGGCAGGGGTCGAACCCGGGCTCCCCGTTTTGTAGGCCTAGAAGCTATCCATTAGGCCATAGTGACAAGCCATTGGGTGGGATGGGAACGCCACAAGAAGGAATGGGGGCCGAATTCTGTGCGGCTTTGGGGCCCATTGCCGCACAAAATTCGCGCGTCATTTGCACTGCCCGGAATACACAACTATATATTTGCCGGCGAAACATTGGGTATCCCTTTAAAATGGCTTTTAAAGGGAAGGGCAAGGCATGAACGTCGGTCCTGCGGCTAAGAATTCGTAACGATATGCAACGCGCACGCAACTCATAAAAACGTCCTAACGCACTTCAACGCATAAAAAGGCTGCCATAAAAAAGTGTTAATCCTTGCACCAAGGCAAAAATGGGAGTGCATGCCTCTGTAAGACCTTCTTTAAAAATCGAAATAGCTTTGAAATGTTTTTATAATGAGCTAGCCCGAAAAACCAAAGCATGTTTTCGATGTTTCACATTTTAACTGGATTCACTCGGTAGCGGGTGGCTCAGTCTTTCCTCTCATCCTACTACAGTGCGTATCAAAAAGATAGAGCCACTTGGTTTTTCACCTCTAACTTCGCGCCGTGGTATTTTCCGCGGAAGCTAAGCATACACATCTTGTAGCCCTTGAAAACGTGCATCTTTCTGTGTAGTCGAAATTTTTCTATGATCGATATTAAGCTTTTTATGATGAAAACAAGCAAATAGAGCCAAAAACACAAGTATCAAAAAGATAGAGCCACAATATGCATCCACTTTACATGCGCTTTCAGCTTGCAAATTACATGGTAATTGTCATGCAAACCGCAGGAAAAACTGATTCTAGTAGCAATAAAAAGGCTAATTTTTTTATTAAGTATTCGCTTCATTTGCGCGCTTAGAAATGGTTAGAGCGATAAAATTTTTCTGCGGCCCTCGTGATTTGAATGAAGGGCACGATTTGCAAGACAATTACCATGTAATTTGCAAGCTCAAAGCGCATGTAAAGTGGATGCAAATGGTGGCTCTATCTTTTTGATACTTGTGTTTTTGGCTCTATTTGCTTGTTTTCATCATAAAAAGCTTAATATCGATTATAGAAAAATTTCGACTACACAGAAAGATGCACGTTTTCAAGGGCTACAAGATGTGTATGCTTAGCTTCCGCGGAAAATACCAAGGCGCGAAGTTAGAGGTGAAAAACCAAGTGGCTCTATCTTTTTGATACGCACTGTATATATAAAAAAATAGTTCCTGTGTGCATTTGCATGTAACTTCCGTCAGCGTGTTCCAGCAGTATCTCAATAAGGGGAGTAGTTTCTTTTATACCTCATTAGGTGCGTAATGACCGTGGGATGACTGCACACGCATAAAATGTTCAAAAATTTGCTGTTTTCGACGTTAAAATCAAGCTTTTTGTTGAAAAATCGAACACCCTCTTTGTTAGGAAACAATTAGCATACGACGGAAGTTGCGGTAGCTTATATAAGAGAAGAGAGCTGGCGTTTCTCATTTTTTTGTCATCGAAAATCGCGAGAATTATGCAAAGTGAAGAATATCCTGGTACCCGTTAATAACTTCAAAGGGTTTCAAAGCTCCAATTGGCCCGGCTTTTAAAGGGCCTTTAAAGGGATGAGCAAGGCAGGAGGATCGTTTCTCGGCTATAGGCAACCGTGGCAAAAGTTCAGTGCTCGGCTATTACGCCAGACAAAATTAGGCTTGCGCCTCTCTTAAAAACCTCTTTAAAAATAAAAATTAATGTTTACGGGTTGTAGAAACAGCCGATCCCAACAACTATCATACCCGATTATTTTGTATGTTTCACATTTTTACGGGATGTGCTACCTCACTGATGGTTCAGTTGCGCCTTCAATTTCTGAAAAAAAAAATAAAAAAGTGAATTTTGAAAGCGCTGTGGCTGGGCCGCCTTTCAAATGGCTTTAAGGGGACGGGCAAGGCTCGGCTGCCATTTTTGGACTATGCAACTTACAACATACAACTCGTAACACAGCGGGCGTAAAGGTTGAATTTACGCTATGGCGCCAGGTAGATATAGGCTGGCGCCTCTCTTAAAAAGCCGGTCAAAACTAAAATTTAATGTTTAAGAGTTGGAGAAACGGGCGACCCAAAACCGGAAAAAGCTTTACGATGTTTCACATTTTTACTGAATGCGCTCGGTTGCGCATGGTTCAGTTGGTCGCTCAACAGGGCTTGTACACTCAAACGGTCTCGCTGCTGTCCCGCCTTTAAAATGGTTTTTTTAAAGTGACGTGCAAGGCAGGACTATCGTGTTTCGGTTATGGATTTGCCGCAACACGCATCGCACACGCAACGCAGCGGTCTTACAAATTCCGTTTTGCCGAAAAGCTCGAGAACGACAAAACCGATTGAGAATCCAATCGCTAACAAAAGCTGAGGCCATTTCTTACCCTTATTCATACGGAAATGTTTCAGCTTATTCTTACAATGTTTTTAGGTTTTGCTCGATATTGCATGACCCGTCTTTTGCTTACCACTCTTCCGGAACTTGACTAAATCACAAATGTTTCAACAATTTTTTAAGATATTTTTGTATTCTACCCGATATTCATGCCGCGATTTGGTACTATCATGTCGAAATTTCATTTTCGAATTTTTCGCGTAGTTTTTGCGATCTATCGGTGTGATTTGTTTTTCGACATTATGATGGTACGACATCATGCATATCGATACCTTGAAAGTAAACCCTTGCCATCTACTAATTCCCCAATACTTTTACAAGATTTTTAATGCGATACATACTGCCGTATTCCTTGCCGTCGACTGGTCCTCCAATTTTGAAGTTTTAAAAATCTTCTCGAGCACCGGGTTCCGTTTTTGCGTGAATATCGGCGCCTCGTGCGCCGGGCGACCGTAATTCTGTAATGCTTAGGATGTTTATTTTGGTAGTTAAAATTCTTAAATTAATAAAATTGGTGTTGTTAGTATATTAAAGTATTGGGATTTATTTCTCATTAATTACAAATCATATACTTCATTTCCCATCTCAATTCATTGCATCTAATCAAAAATTATAAACGTAACCTCTCAAATAGATGAAACATTAAAATCAGAAACCTGAAGTTCTGTTTTTTCGAACATGTTTCAAAAATAATTAGGATACTTTTAATGGAAAATTACACAATGGTGTGTCGTTTTTGTCAACCATCTGCCATTTCAAGGACCCGGGTTTTAATATATTTTTTAACATTGTCAATGACATTTTTAATACCTTACAAGGTAATAAAAAACTAAAATTTACCTTGGCGCACTTCTGGCGGCACTGCTGACGTCGGAGGAAACGATTCAGCGTTCCGCCGCAACCCCTAAAAATCGGAGTGCCTTAAATTTGGAATATAAAAATCGTCATACAAAAAACTGCGTTTTTACGGAATCACGGAACGCTAAAAAAGGAGTGTAATTCCTCAATACCTTGCACTACCTTCAAAAATTGTGACTACCTGTAGGAGCAGCAGGAGCAGCTTACTTAATACAATATGTTTCATAATTCTAAGTGGCAAAAACAGATGAGAGGCTTATAATCAGCGCTGGACGATCCTACCTTATATAATTTGGTCGCGTATCTTTGTGTGTGTGTGTGTCCGGCGCCAAGGAGGGCTACTTTGCATAATCCCAAAAAATACAAATTTCCTCATTCTTGTAAGTTGCACGCGCGGGTGTGGTCGGATGAAGGGAGGGCTCCGAAGGACCCAAACTATCGGAAAGTCAAATTTCTCATGCAAAGGCCGCAATCCAGCGCCCAAGGGCCGCGAAGCGGGTTTTGGGCGCTGGTTTACGATAAAATTTCAACACTCATTTTTATACACTTCTACCGTCCTCTATCAAATTATTACCTCAAAAAAACCGCTATATTGCCACAATTTAATTTATTTGTTATATAAAAGGATCCGTTGAGAAAATGTATGTTTCAAAAATCTTAAGAGTTAATGGGTGCAAAAGGTCTCTACTGTACTCTTGCCGTCGTTTGTCTGTTTTCAGCACACCCAAGTTTGCTAGGAATTTAAGCTCCATTAAAGCTATTACAAAATGAATACTTGCAGATTGCAGAGACTAATACTTTTTAGCTTTGAAAACCTGTATCTGAACAACTTGAAAATGCAACTATTTTATGTTTCAGAATTTTTAGTGGAGTATGATGTTGTCGGCAGGCTAATTGCTGCTCAATGCCAAATTTAATGGACTTGCACTCTTCCATTCAAAATTATACAATTTACAAGTTGTTTACTTGCCACCTTTTAATTTATTTATAGTACCATACGGAAACCGTTAAAAAAACCTAATGACAAGTGAAACGCCTTCTGACTAAATTGTATGTTTCAAAAAACTGGTTAGTTGCCGGGCATAAAAAGCCAACAATCTTCCTCTCGATGACGTTTTAGAACAAGCAGAAGTTTAGCACGAATTTAAGGCTTATGAAAAAACTTACAAAATAAATAAATGCTCAAAAAATCTAGAGATTCGGTTAAGACAATAAAATCCAAAAGCACCGAATTGATTTGTCATGTTTCACACCTTGAGATGGCGGATCGTGGCGAAAAGGAAATAATGCGCTGCTGTGACATGGTGTAATTGAGTTTGACCTCGATTTTTGGTCGAAATTTGCCGAACTTTCTCTCATTATGTTTCAAAATTTTTTTAGGTTAAAAGAGATGTTTAGAGGCTAATAATAATAATCGACTACAACTTTTAATCAACTTCTTCACGATACGGACATATCGCAAGCTCATGTTTCAATATTTTTAATAGCTAAGGGCAGTGTGATGTCGATAATATGATTAGGCAAAATCCCGCACCGATAATTGTACGGTACCCTACAGTTGGCTGGTGGTTCAATTCTTTTACAGTAATCCCGGACGGCCCGATGGCGAAACATACATAATTTGTATGGGATTTCACCGTTTTTTAGTTCTAAAGCAAGTCATAAAAATCTAGAAATTTTCGAATATTAAATAAAAAATCCCCCCCGCTAGAAGTCCCATACCAATGGAGCCACTTGCACTCATACGGTCTCAGGAAAAGTGTTACTTACTAAAAAACTGGTCGGAAATTCAATGTTTCACCCTTTCACAAAGAAAATAGCCGCTTAAAAGGTCACAATTCAGCTGGATAGTAGTGATAACCAACCCATAATTGAACCGCTTGCACTCGTCGGTGGCTGGATCGTAGTAGTAGCGGAACAGGCTCTGATGACAAGGTCCTGGGTCGGGAGGCGCCTAAATAAAGATATTTAAGCTGTAAAATTAAAATCAAAATGATTCTTTTTTGCACCTAACCCAGTAAGCATTAAAATTTAGCAAATGCTTTAATAAATTTTGAAGTTATTGTGACTCTTTAATTATTATTCTTTATAGCTCTACGTGCCGTGAGGGAGCAGAAAGTATTGTGCAATTTTTCAGTGTTTTTTTTTTTGGGAAGAAAAATAGTATTTCAAAAAAGTCTGGATTCGCTTGTTAACAAGCCGACAATCAGAGAGAGAGAGAGAGAGAGAGAGAGAGAGAGAGAGAGAGAGAGAGAAAGAGAGATAGTACCTTAAAACTCACCAAACAAGCGTCCAGTATCTGACCATCACCCAAAGGCAGCTCCCAAACCAGGAGCAGTAATGGCCACATTCCTAAAAAACTATAAAACTTTTTAGGAAATTTTGTTTCTTAAAATTTACAACCTTGAAATACCAGAGTGGCGGTGATGGAACATGCATAGGGCCTCCGACACCGAATAAGTACGAAACATTTTTTAGAGGTATCGGGGAAATGTTTCGTACCGTTCCAAAGCAAAATCAGGATCTCTAAGGCTAAAAAGAGTCTTTCTAAAAAAGGGCTTTTGGTTTTCGCAAAAAGAGAGGAATTCTCGTGGCAACAAAAAGAGCTAAATTCCTTTCAAACTCTTAAAAATGCCACAAAATGTGGCACAACAAAAAATTGCTGGCTATTTAAAATCTTAATAAACTCGGTACCATCCCAGATCACAGGTCAGGTCCACAGGTTAATTTCAAGAAAGTGCAAACAGATCATAATACAGAAATTATTTGCAAGCCGAAACCGCTAGAAACTGGATCTGTCCATTTTAGTAAGGTGCCAGCAACTTTTGGTTGATCCCACATTTTGTGGCATTTTTAAGAGTTTGAAAGGAATTTAGCTCTTTTTGTTGCCACGAGAATTCCTCTCTTTTTGCGAAAACCAAAAGCCCTTTTTTAGAAAGACTCTTTTTAGCCTTAGAGAGAATTTAGCCCTTTTTGCCTCAACATTATTGTTAAGATCGTAAAATAAGCCAAGGAATACTTATTCAGATGAACCCTTGTACGCAAAACTTCAAAAAAATTTGCCTGCGGCGCTTTGTAACGGCACTAGAAACCATAAAGTTGCACCTGGGCCAATCGGCAAAAACCATGTTTTGGGCGGGGTTCGAACTCGGGAGCCAAGTCTTCCCAGTACACCGTGCTAACCACTAGGCCAACGGGTAAACTGGAGACCTGTCTTGGGGAAGGTAGACCCGCCCGCCCTGGCTCCCGGACTGGGCCGCCAAAGGGGAGGGTGGCGCCCCGTATGGCGAAGGTTTAAAGTTATAATATCTCAGAGAGGAAGCATTCTTTCGATGCAATTTCTTCTTTACTTTTTCTGGCAAGGTCTAATGCCTATTTGAGCAAAATTTCAGCCCAAACGGACAACACTATCCCTTGTTTTGGCCGCAATTTAGCTTTTAAACTTAAAAATTAAATATAAATTTTTTAAAAGCCTATTTTGAAAAAAACTCTTCTTGCGGTCCGAGATTATCATTAACCCAATAACTGTAAAAAATTTCAGCCCAAACGGATGATGGGAAAGCACTTTTTGACGACTACAAAGGTTTTTGTGGCATACATACATACAAACGCAGACCCCCCCCCTCGAAACGCAATTTAAATCGGCTGTTAAAATTCGAAATTTCACTTTTTTTTCAAATTTTAAAAGCTTGTAGTATGCAAAAAGTGTCGCCGGTTCCGATGGTGTAATCAGTTTGGCGATCCGATGCATCGTTCTTTTTTAAATCCGGAAAAGGACCCCAAAAGAGTCGTATGGGGGGGTACCTCAAACCAAAAGGGGTTAGCGGGCTACGCCCGCTAACCCCGATTATGGTTTGTTAATGCGACGATGCGGAATATAAAGATAAAAGCAACAAGGCAGTCTAGCAACAATTCGGAGCAAGACACTATCAATTCTATTAACGCATTAATGAGAGATTTCTAAGAGCAGAAAAACTCACTGAGATTATTTGGGAAATGCAAAAAGCCTTGGGAGGCTATCAGGGATTTCGAGGAAACGCGGAAAGCTCACAGAGGAAAAGGGCGAACAGCAAAAATGTTTCAGAAAAAGGACCGTACCGTTGCAAGGAACGTTTAGCAGTTCTCGGTCTTTAGGAGTGCAAAATAAACAAGTATTTTTGTTAGGAATAAGTGGGAAGCCAGCAAAGAATGTTGAAGTGAAATAGGCAAGTTGGCAATGTTTTTTAAGGAATTCCGTATCAAGGGAATTCCGATTTTTAAGGATTAAAGGCAAGCTACAAAGATAAAAGAATCGAAGATAAAATTCAGGGTTTCGTTCAGCGCCGCTAGCAGAGGATCTTTGGGGAGTGGAATTTAGTCCGGGTATGCTAGCATAAGTCATTGAGGAAAGAGAGTCGGCTAGAGAAGATGGTTCAGGAAAGGCCGGTAAACTAGCAGAGAATGTTTGGGAATTAGAGCTGATGCACATGATGTATATCATTACCGCAAACCTCCAATATACAAAAAGTCTTTAAGAAAATATTGAAGGAAAGTGTTTCATAAATTCAAAGCGAAACGCGAAAAAATGATACATTAATGTAAGGCCGCAACGCACGGGACAAAATATCTGCAACAGAGTGGAGTATTATTTGGGTAGAAGCCGACTATAAATACTAATGACACATGAATGAGAGAAAGCGCGAGCGGAGAAAAATTAGCACAGATGATTTGGGAAGTGAAATCAAGGCTTGTCACCGGAGAATGTTTCATGAAAAGAGCGGCAAACTCGCAGATATTTTTTGGGATTACGTATTTGCCGCTGCGTCAAATTTCCAAAGGCATTTTAGGAAAACGCGGTCATATAGGAAAAGTCTATGTAGGAAACTGAAAACGAACCTAAATGAACCTAGCAACGATTCTGAAGGAATTCCGAGCTCTACGAAGGGTAGACCAGCAGAGTTCATTGAGGAACCCCAGACGAACGAACGTATAATATTGACGCATTAATGGAGTAAAGTATAGAAGGCATGCGAGCAAAGAGTCTTTGCAGAATAACAGAAAAGAGAAATGAGGATTGGGAAGCTAGCAACGGCGACCAATAAGGAAAAGGAGGCATGCTAGCAAAGATACTTCAGGGAAATAGCGGTAACTAGCAGAGAAGATTTGGGAAATCGCGCTGACCCGTCTGGCATATATCATCACCCAAAACGCAAAATAAATAAAAAGGAGCTTATATTAAAAAAATGTTTCATAATTTCAAAACTGACCGCGGCGATATCATCTACCAATCCACGGGGGCTTGAGGCAGAAAAATATATGCAAGAGAGCGGTCTTGCGGTGATTATTTGGGAAAAAGGACTTATACTAGATGCTATTGGCGCATTAATGAGAGAATGCTGAGAGCAGAGAGAAAAATAGCAGAGATTCTTTGAGAAATGAAATAAAAGCTTGGGAAGTCAGCAGCGGTTTTTGAGGAAACGAGGCTTGAAGCGCTTTCAGAGGAAGCCGGACCAATGAGGAAAGATGTTTCATGAAAAGGACCGCAAACCTTTGGGAATGTTAGGCGATTCGCCGCGAACTAGTTGTTGGTTATTTCCGCGCGGCAAAAATCTAAAATTACACGGCACACGCTAATTCAGGTACAAACTAGCTCAAAAGTTACATCCAAGTGCTCTTGGTTAGCGTCCAGGACTGTCAATAAGTTGCGTATCGTACTCCGGCAAACTCGGGAAGCATAGCAAAGGACTTTGCAGAAAATAGGCAAGCCAGCAACGATTCTGAAGGAATTCCGAGCTCTACGAAGGGTAGACTAGCAGAGATCATTGAGGAACCCCAGACGAACGAACGTATAATATTGACGCATTAATGGAGTGAAGTATAGACGACATGCGAGCAAAGAGTCTTTGCAAAATAACAGAAAAGAGAAATGAGAATTGGGGAGCTGACAACAGCGGCCGTTGAGGAGACTAGCAGGCTAGCAAAGATGCTTAGGAAAAGCGCAGTAAACGATTAGAGTATTTTGGGAATTAGCGCGGATTCGTCTGATATAGATTCAGCACGACAAACAAAAAATAAATAAAAGGGACTCTATATTGCAGAAAGGTGTTTCCTAAATTCAAAGCTAAACGCGGCGATACCATATAATAATTTAGGACGACGTGAGGAGGCAGATACAGGGAGAAATTGTGATAATTTGGGAAGAAGGTATTATATTTAGCGTAGAATCTTTGGGAATTGAATACGAGGTTTGCAGCCGGTTGGGTAGCTAGCAAAGGTCACTGAGGAAAATGAGGCAATTTAGCACAGGATCTTGAGGAAAAGCCGCGACCCAGAAGTTATGTTTCACGAAAAGGGCGGCAAACTAACGGAGAGCCCTGGAGAATTGGGATTCCGTACTTGCGAAAACTGGCAAAGATTTTCTAGGAGCAAATGCGGGGAGCTAGCATAGAATCTTGGGGAATGGAATTTGGGAATTGCACTCGGCTGGGCAGCTAGCAGAGTTCATTTAGGAAAAGGAGACAACTAGCCGAGAATCTAAATGGAAAAAGAGAACCAGGAAAGACGTTTAAGGGCAAGGGCGGTAGGCTAGCAAATAATCTGCGTGTATTATGCAGACTGAGGTTGCCAGAAAACTAGCAAAGAATCTTTGGAAATTGGAATTAAACTAACCGGCCGGCTAGCAATGGCCGAGCAGGAAAAAGACGCAAACTAGCAAAGTTCATTAGGGAAAGGTGGCAATCTGGCCGAGAGATTAAAAAAATAAGGAAGAAAAGTTTCTTGGGCAAAAAAGCAATTAATTTATAAAAACGAGGGCAAACTAGCATCGATTATGAAGGAATTCAGAGTTCTAGAATGGGCAGGCTAGCAAAGATCATTGTGGAAAAAGGCAGGTTAGCGAAAATCTTAGGGGAAAAGAGGCAAGCTAGCAAACATTTCTAGCAAAATGAGGGTCATCTAGCAAAGATTCTTGAGGATTCAAGCTCCTTCCGAAAGGGCAGACTAGCATAGACCATTCAGGAAAGGAGGAAAACTAGCAAATATTTCTGGCAATAAGGGCAAGCTAGCAAAGATTCTTGAGGAATTCAAAGTTCTAGAAAGGGTAGACTAGCAAAGATCATTGTGGAAAAGAGGTAGGCTAGCAAACCTTTTTATCAAATAAGGGCAAACTAGCAAAGATTCTTGAGGGTCCCAAAGCCTTCCAATAGAGCAGACTAGCAAAGATCATCAAGGAACCCAGCTCATAGAAGTGCAGACGTATAATATTGACGCATTAATGGGAGGCATCGTTTCGGGGAATAGCCATTTGGAGGAAGGGGATATAAGAGACAGTATATCCCCTTCCCCATCCTCCCCCGTTGTCCTACTGTCATCGGGTATTCATGCGGACCCCTGCATTTCTTATGTGACCCTCCTCCTCCCCCCAAGGCGGGCATTCCGCCACTTTCCAATTGACACCCCATGGCAGATGGGCTGTACAATGTTGCAAAATGGACAGACAGCAAACCCTTTATTTTGGGCATGAACAAGAAATTCGAAAACGATCTGACGCAACAAAAGAGGAGTGAATTAGGAAACAAAAAAATTTTCAAAATGATTTTTGAGTGCAACATTTATTTTTGAACCCGCGTATTTTGCGTATTTCTGGAGCATATATAACTTGAATTAAAGGCATAAATTTAATATTCAAAAAATTTTGATTCACAAACCTTTAAAAACTAAAAAAGTGCACGAATTTACCCCCGCTTTTCCACCCAAAAATAAGTAAAAATAAGTGGATCCGATAGAATCGGACACGGAGATTCCGAATCTGTAATCAGAATTGGCTAAATAAAACGGAAAAGAAAGTTATGAGGCATCAAATTTGGTAAAATCGCCAAAAACGGCACCTTTACATCCCTGTAAACTTTAAAATGTGGATTTAAATTTAAATTTGAACTGCAAAGTGTAAAGCGTGGAGGAGAGAAATTTAAGCAAAAATCAGGGGTACATTTTGTTCACCAAAAAATTCTCTTTTATTAAGTTTTTCCGGCTATTGGACGGCAGTTGAAGTATCGTTGCTTTCAAAATACATTCAATGGAAAATTTTGAATGTTATTTATGAGTACTTTAAGGCAAACGACCGTACAAAAACGGGATAGTGAAAAAGAACGCGACAATGTGAAAAACTGAAACCTATCTTTTTTACCTCCTAGTATGCCACACCAAAAGTTTTTTGAAGATAGCCCTGGTTTTGTAAGATTTTGTTCTTAGAAATCGATATAATTTCAGAATTTCTGATTAATTGACGTTAGATTTTATAAAAAAAGCGTCTAAGGCCAGAAAGTGAACAGCAGAATAAATGCGGGGGGATTAAAATTTTTGAAAGAGGACTAAAAACAAAGTCAAGAAACGGCAAAAAGACTCGACTGCTATTGTCAGCTGCTCCGCCCCCCCGAAAAATCCCCAGGGACCTACCATGCAAAAAATGGATATGACACGTCGAAAGAATTATTGCTTGGCCGGGAATTTGTGTTCGAAGCCTTTCGAAACCCAGATGATAGTCACCAAAAACTGTCATTTAGTGTAATGCAGCAAAACACATTTTTTTAGTTTTGAACGGAAACCTCTCGAAACTGTTTTTAAATCTGGTTTTAGCATTTTTGTGTTTCATGGCTACGGATCCTACTATATATAAAAAAATAGTGTCTGTGTGTGTGTCTGTGTGTGCCACTTTGCATCCACTTCCGGATGTCTGTCCGGAGGATATCTCGATAGGGGAGGAATTTTAAGGAGTGTATGATACGTCATTAGATGCGTAATGGCCTGGAGATGACTGCACGCATATCAGATTTAACAAATTAACCTATTTTCGACATTAAATTTAAGTTTTTGTAAAAACCTCTTTGTTAGGAACAATTAGCGTAGACCGGAAGTGGGGATTCGACTATATAAAGAGGCTCAACAGGTAGTTTTTCATTTTTGTCATCTGAATTCAGGAAAATTATGCAAAGTGAAGGATAAAACGGGGTCAGACGGGACCAGGGTTGAAAAGTCGCGAAGCGGCTTTTCAACCCTGGTCTTCAATAATCGTTTTGTTAGCTTAATGGGCCTTCGTGTTAGAAAGAGACAAAAATGTTTAGGCTAAAATTTTTATGTTTCGCGCATGTCATTTAACCAAACGGCTTAGCTGAATTCGGATTTTTCCTGCCAGCAGACCGGAAAATAGCAATTTTTCGGTTAAAATTTAATTTAATTTGTGTCCATGGCCCATTTCGGCGTTTAAGTGTCGTTTCAAAATGGATTTATTTTTTGGCCAGGCAGAGTGATTCTCTAAGAAAACGGCAGAGCCTACAGGTTTAAGAAACATTTTATTAATTTCAAAACGAAAACTCGGAAAATACTTTAATTTCAATGACAAGCCTGCAATGGTATAAACCAGCCATGGCGGGGTAGTATTAAAAATCAGCGCGGATCGTTCTTTGGATGGATAGCCAAGTGCGAATTATAATGATTCATCGAAGAAAACGGTAGTCTCGTTAAACTTAGGAAACATTTCCTTTAATTATAAAACTCCGAAGATACTTATATTTTAATCGTATCCTTGTGGTCAAAGCCACCTCTATGCTCTATGTTTGACGGGTATTTTCTAAAATTAGCATGAATTGTTTTCTGGTCCAGAAATCTTGCAAATTTTATGTTCCATGACTGTGGATATGAAGCAGCTGTTTGTTGACAATTAATTAGCGTTTCTGACTCGGAGCAGTAAAACAAAAAGTGCTAATTATTTGATCATACTTTTTTATATTCAGCTTACTTTTAAACTCAGGAAAATCACAGGACTATTTCGATAAATTCGGAATTTTTTTGTCATATAATTTTGTGCAAAAAATTGAATTAAAGTGTTTCAGAGCTATGCCTAATCATCGAAACGTGTGTTGCCTTAATGTTCATCGCGTAACGTTCCGGATTTTGAATCTTTGTCATCTCCCACCTAAAAAAAGTAATTTGCATATAGAATTTACCGGCAAAAATCGGAAGAACATGCTGGAGCAAATAAACATCACATTTTGCACCCCGCCCTTTTTCTACTCGTCGGCCCGGCTGCTTCGCCGTTTTCGGGGCAATGAGGTAAATTATTATGCAAATTTTGGATCCACCTAATGTAATTATGTAAATTTTTAGCGAAAAAGAAGCTACTACCTTTTGCCATAACAAATAAACAAAAAAAATCATTAAATTCAAGTTTTTCTGAATTGTTTTTTGAAATACTGTAAGAAAACTGAAAGGCAAAAAGCCAACGTTTTGAATTTTTGCTTTTCAAAAGTTATGTTTCCAGTTCGGGGGAAATCTACTGGCAGAACGAGATGCTGCCCCAGCAGCCAAATCAGCAGACACATGGTGATGTCTCCCGTCAGACGCTACTCTCCACCCTGGATACCGTAGTCGACAGCCTCATCCACAGCCGTCAGGCCCTTCGACTTCCCCCGCATGCCCATCGCACCAGTCGTGTACAGGTATCGTAACGGAGCATGGTTGTTGTGCTGTTGGTACTTGAGTTGGCTTGAGTGCAGTTTACCCCCCAGCCGACCCCCACCTACCCTATCTCGGCTCCCTGTTCAACTACAGATGTGTAAAGTATACCAAAATGTTTGTCTTGCTCTGGCGAGTATTTTGTTATACTTTACACACCTGTAGATGAACAGGGAGACGAGATACAAAAGTTGGGGTAAACTGCACTCTAACCCTTGACTTATAGCTGGGGGCACTATTTTTTTTCTGTACGATCAAATATATTTTAACAAGCATTTTGTGTAGTTTTTAGCTATGACACGCGGAGCTAAAATTATAGAAATTTTCGCGATTTTCTCATCAAAAATGTGTGCAACATGGCCCAAAAATGCTAGGTTTTCGAATTAACAAATTGCCTTAAAAAATTTTGTAACTTCGAGCAATTATCAATTACTAAAAACACTATAAAAATTCATTATGTATGATCCACACGTAGGCAAAGACGGAAAAACAAAAATTAGTTTTGCCCCTGCTAAAAATCCCCCTTAATAACCGCCCAGTACCTCGACGAGCACATCCACTTCACGCAGCTCCCATCTGAAGCGCCCGATGACAATCATTTCCATATTCTTCGCCATATGCGAACCACCAAGCACGTCACCTCACGCTCAACCACCACCACTACTCGGTAATAGAATCAGAGCAAAACAAAAAAAAAATTAAAAAATTAAATGAAAAAAATGTGTTTCTTGGAAACTCCTTTTTCATTCGAACAGCGGTACTATAGTAAGCTCAGGGGTCTGTTGCTGCCAGCTACATCTAATTGCGTTAAAATTGATCAGGGAATTTTTTTGTGAATAATACCTTGAAGATATTCCTTGTTTCATGATAAACACTAGAAATTCCTAACGAAGATCGAAACACCTTTCCAAAAACAGGAATAAATTTCACAAAAACACGTGTTTCAAGAAAAATCCTTGAATAGCTTGTGGCGTCCGCGATATTGCGATGTTTTTCGGAGTGCGCCATATTGACTTGGAGCTTGCAAAAAATTTAGATTTTGCAGATTTGCAAGGAGGTGTTAATTTCCGCGAGGAATGCCTAGCAATTGCCTAAAACTTGTAATTAACGGCTTTTCCTAGAAAAATTGTGTTTTGAGAAAAACTCGAGTTTCGTCGATTGAATTGTGCCTAGTCATGCCATGACCGTATAGGATGTTTCTTGCTTCTAAAACCACTATGGGACATGGCAAATTATTTTGGCATCGATATTTACAAATTCATAAAGTAAAACTTTCTAAAATCTGTAAATTTCTGTAAAATCCAAAACACCAGGAGAATAAAAAGCTGAAATATTGTCTTGTTGTGAAAACATGTTTCACACAACACCCTGAAGCTGCAGATCCAATAAAATGCAGTGAATAGCTTTTTAAAATAGGCTTTCAGTTACATTAAGAAATTTTGTTAAATTCAAAAATTAACAGAAAGGTGCAAAATTTTGGAGATTGGAGTATTTGTAGCTAAAACTTTGCCGGTTTAAAATGGGTATTCACATTAAACGTAAATTCGAAAAATCTTGGGAACGTTTTGCAAGTGCTTTGAAAAAAAGATGTGTCAGCTATGATTCTACTTTGGCCTTTTTTTGATTAAATTAATCATGCTCTATCTACTCATTTCCGGACTGATCTCCTATTAAAAGACCTTCCGCGGCTCACCCGACCTGCCCCCAATATGGCTTGCCCCCAATAAACTTTTTAACATCTCAAAATAGTGCCACCCTACTAATTCGACCATGCGCTTTCAGATGACGTCAAAAAAACAGGGTCGAAAAACTGTACCAAGCCTTGTTCGGATGACCCGCGGACGGCCTTTTAAAGTTTCCGGCGACCTTTTCAATTCTTTAAATTTCCATTATTTTGACCAATTCTTGCTTTTACCGTTCTTTGGGTAAGATTTAAAATTTAAAGTTAACTCTTATTTTTCCAGCGCGCACCACAACAATGACGGCAGGCAGTCGGTGGCCCCGCCCCAGAAGCAGCAACATCAGCAACAGGGACAGCAGCAGCTGCAGCCCCAGGCTACGAGCGCTCCAAACGACGCGCGGAATGCTGTGCGACTCGGATCGCCGGCCCCCATCCACAAATTGCCGCAGCACGCCGTCGCCAAGAAGGCCAGGTAAGCAGAATTTCAGTTTTAAAGGAACTAGGAAGCCAGGGCTATGGATTTTGCTGGATACGGATTTTTTTATACGGAATTTCGGCACTTTTTGGCTCCGTCCTCCATAATTTTTGCCTTCACCATCTCTTTTAAATGGCTAGACACCGGAAGGAACCCGATTTTTGCAGCGCAACCGCGGTCGCGTCGCGTTCTCGTTCGAGCCGCTCCGAGTCGGGCATCCGCGAGGCCGTCCAGAAGGCCCAGAAGGCTCGCGAGCAGCTCGAGGCCCAGACGAGCCAGACGCGCCAGGCGCGCTCGCGCGAGTGGACCCGCATGCAGGTGGGTATGCTAGGAAAGTTATAAAAAAATATTTTTTAAATTATTATTTTTTATATGCGTTTTATACCTAAAAACTTTGTAAAATACTATAAAAATGGTTTAGATTTTGTTTGCGGTAGAGAATCACGGGGAAAAATTTGGCCCCACCCCGCTAAAATCCCAGAACCGAAAAAACGCTAAAAACACCCCTCGAAATTCAGAAAGCCGATTCGCGGCGTAGCACGTCGGAGCACCAGCGTCTGCTGCTCACCCACGCCGATCAGCAGCGTCTCCTCGAGATGATCAAGGTATTTGATGGGTTTTTGGTTTCGGAATTTCGGGTAGTCAGTCTAGCAGAGAAAATTGAGGAAGCGGGGCAGAAGAGTGGAAACCATTGGCGAACTTTTCCATTATTACAGGGCTTGGCCTAAGATACCAATTGATCCAAGAAAATCATTGTTGTTCTTAGGGAGCGATGAAACACATTTTTCACAGAAAAGCCCAAACTAGCAAATTTTTCGTGAAATGGCGGGCTAGAAAAGACGATTGAGGAATAGAGGAATTACAGGAATTGATCCAGGAAATAACTGCCGCTCCTTAAAAATGTGTGAAACATTAAGCAGGTAGCAAGGACATTTGAGGAAAAGGAGGACAGCAATGACAATTGATGAACTGGCAAGCTAGCAAAGACTTTTGAGGCATTGGAAAGATAGCAGTGGAAATTGGGGAAGGGGTTCGCGATCAGCGACTAGCTTCGAACAAACATTAATTCAAAGAAAAAAATTCCCACCTTTTATAAATATACGAAACATTCTTTTTTTATGACAGCGTGGCTAACTGTAGCGTGGCTAGTAAGAGACGTCATTGCGAAAGTGGCTAAATAATGGTGTTTGGCCGATTACCGGTTTAACAGAGACAATTTATATCGCGCTAGCAGAAACCTTTGGGGAAATAGCGGGCTAGCAGGGATCGTTGTGGAGGCGCGATCTATTTTAATGCCTTTTTACTTGGGAGCAACACTGTGACCGGGTTTAGTAAGTCCCCGAACGAATTCCCTCTTTTTAAAAATTGATGAAACATTTCGTTGACGAGTCTGCTTGATCAGATGGCGAACAAGGACAGCCAGCCGAGGACGTCGAGCCCGGCTCCGTCGCGATCGCCCTACCACCTCCAGCCCTCCGTCGGCCAGTTCTACCAGGTTAGTTCTAATTTTTCGATCTATTTCGAGACCGAATTTTGTAATCAATTTGTACCAATTTTCGGCATAAAATCAGGCCTACGCCGGAAAAGAACATTGATTTTTTTAAAAGATTACGCTAATCAATCTTTCATTGAAACATTAAAATTTTACTGCGCGATTTCGAAAAATTTGCAGGTTTATAGTTTTTGTTAACGTCTAGCGTGGAAAACCTTACATTTCTCCATTCAAAAAAAAGACGATTGTATACCTCGGCAGGTTTGGCGTAATCTTTAGGCTTGGAAACATACATTGTTCAGCGCGAAAAGTAAAAGCAAGAAACAAGTTGACCTAAAGAAAAACGAATTTTCGGTGCCCTTCGAATGACCTAGCTTTTTATAAAAACCCGTTTCAAATGTCGAAGAGTTTAGAAAAATACCTGCATTCCAGAATGCGATCACGCCGTACTACCAGCGCCCGGCGGCTGCAGCTGCCGCGACGTCGACCGTCCCTCCCGCGATGGCCCCATCCCTTTCCGGTGGTCCGTCCCGATTTGAGCGTGGACCGCATGCTGATGAGTGTCGCGCCAAGCAGATTCCCGTGTATGTGTTTTGGAGTATCGCGTAGTTTTTTTGGCTAGGTGGTTAGCAATAGCTTTTGGGGTGCTGGTTCGTTAGCGGGGGGGGTACGCCCACTTCCTTTCTCTTTGCCAATAGGCCTTTTTGGGGTCTATTAAAATTCCCTCCCCCGCTAACGAGCCAGAACCGCTTTTGGAATCTGCTGCGTATACAAAAAAATCAGATTTTAGAGTTTTTTGGGGTACTTGAAAAAATATATATAAATTTTTACAGCCAGCCGGACCCGTCGTGCTTCTGCGGTGGGCCGAATCGTCCATCGCCCGGTGCCGATATGCCAAATTGGGAGACGGAGAAGGGCAGGGCCAAGGCCCGTGATGCTCGAGTCCCTCGTCAGGTATCCGAAAACCCGATTGCTCTCGCCTCCACGTTCTAAAAAAATGCAATTTTTCCATTATTTTCAGTTGCTTAAGATCCATTTCTGATGAAAGTTCAAAATCCTTTCTATTAATTTTAGTACGATCGCCATGGGGCTGTCACCGCGTGGAACCGCTACTACGAGGTGGGGCTGCTAGGAAAAGCGGGAAAGTGGTCTGATTGTCCTAACTTGGTCTAATTTGCACTGCCTTTGCTTTTCGCTTTGCTTAAAAAATGTTTCAACAAATTGGATTCAGCAGTCATGCGTAGAGCGGACAGTATTAGTGTGAGTTGTAGCATCATAAATCTTCAATTTCGTGCGCTCCACAGATATTGCGATCAAATGTTTGAGACCAAAAATAGATGGATCGTTAAGGTCACTGAGGAGGTGGCCGAGATATTCACCCGCGCCCACTTCAAATTTTCCAGCGCCCCCGCCCCGGTGGCTACGCGCGCGATGGTGGAGGCGCGATGGCGGCCGTGCAGCTGCCTCCTCAGCAGCCGCCCGTCAACCCAAGCGACAATCTCTTCTACGGGGCTGTCGAGGTCGGTTTATAATTGATGAATTCTTGGAGCTCCGCGAATTGGAGTTCCAAAAGTTATTTAAGTAATTAGTTAAGTATGCGTAATTAGTAATTAGTAGTAATTCCACGAATTTAACGGCCTTTGGAAATTCCACTTTGCTTTCGAGTTGTAGGTGGTAATTTTTTAAACGGTTTTCCATTATTTCCTAGAGCTATCACATGCTAATCTAGAAGTCAGTAACAGTTCCTACTCTTGCGCTATTTTAGAAAATGATGGAACATCTAAATTTCATCGCTTTTTTAATATTTTTAGTTTTTTCCGTCACTCGTGCTTTTTAGCTTTTAGCGTTTATTCTAGGATTCTTACGCAGTGGATGAATTATTATTTCCTTTGCCAGGAACCCAGTAGTTTTGATCGATTCGCGCCATTTGCGGAAAGGATGGAACATGTGAATTTTAACACGTTACTTACGTCTTTACGTTTTTCAATCATAAATCCTTTTTAGCTTTTATAGTTTATTTTTGGGGTTTTTGCCACGCAATAGTTTTCCCTGAATTATTATATCCGATACCCCGAGCTTAGTAAATTTTCCTGCGCTCGCGCGATTTGAGAGAATTATGCAACATTTCAATTTTGCGTAATTTGAGCATTTTTTTTTAAAAGTTTTTGCCACCGGCTTTCGAATTATGCACGTTTACTTGTTAAGGGTTTTACCACCCATTTTTTACAGGTGGAGGCGAACGTGGCGATCGCCGTGAAGAACCTGCTGAAGGCGCGCACCTGCATGCGGAACGTTCACTTTGCCGTCGGCTCGCTGTTCCCCGCCTCGGCCACGTATACGGTACACGTGGCCACGCCCACTTCTTTGGATCAAAACCCCTCATCAATGCAATATTAAATTTTGCCATTATAGGACGACATTGGGAAGATGCAGCAGCAGCTGAAGGCGTTCAACACCCAGTTCCGCTACCTTAACACCAAGGTCAACGAGGTCGGCGGTTTTTTTCTGGATTTTTCTGTCTGTTTCTCTCCCATTCTCTAACTCTCTCGCGCACTCTCTCTCTCTCTCTCTCTCTCTCTCTCTTACCCTCGCTCTCTTATATCTTCATTTACATATTATGTTCACGTACACCCCTCGAGAGCTCATTGGTCAATAACAATTTTTTGGCATAATTTGGATTTATGAAACACATAATCTCTGAAGACCAATTCTGGGGAAACTTTTTCACTTTCTTTCTTACCACTTCCGCGCTTGCCGTTGTTTTATGCCAAGTTGCCACTTTTACCTTTTTTACAATCGGATGGAATGTATCTCTTGGGCATTTTAGCTTTTCGAAACATATTTTTTCGAAGGGCCAGTCAATATTGCAATTTTTTTCATATCTTCCGCGCTCTCTCGCTCTCTCTCTCTCTCTCTCTCTCTCATTCTTTCTCTCTTTCTCCGCTCTCTCTCTAACCCTCGCTTCAAAAACCCTCTCTTTCTAGAAGCTCTCGGCTGGCCCTCGTCAAGCTGCCGCCCGTGCCGCTGGTGGTCCGCCGTCGGCCTTCGAAAAGCCGCCGAACCAGATGCACAACCGCCAGCCGTCGTGCGAGTATAACAATTAGATAGAGTAGAGGATTCGTGAATTAATTAAAAACACGACAAATTTTACTGAAAAAAAATGCAGAAAATGATTTTTCGTTGAAAATGACAGATTGTAAAATACAACATTTCTAAAAACCGTTGCAATTCTGTTGTTTGCAAAAAATTGCTTTACCGCTTCGAAACGAGACGATTGAGATAAGTTAATTATACGAGCTAAAAACAACGATTTTTCGGCAAGAAATGCCAATTTTCGCGCAAACTTTAACCATTAAAAAGTTTGTAATTTTTTGTCTTGGCAAATTTTACTAAAAACGCTCTTAAATTGTTTACTGAAAGAACACAATAAATCTTGCGACCAAATGCTCGGGTTTAACATATCTGAATCACTTAATTTTAATAATTTTTGCAGACCTACCCGTTGACGTCCCGCTACTTGAATCCGCTCGCCATCACCCAATCAATGGATCTCTTCCCGCCCCTTCTTGATCATCTCCTCCTCCGAGTTGCACCGAACCCCGAAAAATGGCCCTCTTAACACATTATATCTGCTGTTGACGATGAATTAATAAACGGTTGCTTGGTGTGCTTTGTACTATTTTTGGATGTGCATTTTCTCGCTTTTCTCTCTCTCTCTCTCCCTCTCTCTCTCTCTCTCTCTCTCGCAAGGAAAGTCGATCTCCTACGATACAATTTGCCGATTATTATCCATTACAATAGCAACGTTTCGTTAAGTTTTTGTGAAACATCCCAATTGTTCACCAGTACAAAGTGTCGCAATCAAAAAGACAACAAGACCTCTAACTCGACACAGTAGTATCGGATCGGAATGATAATTACACCATTCGAAAGCCCTTCAAACGGTGAGTTTGCGATAAACTTTAAAACCATGTTTTCATTTGAGGGAGCCATTTTCAAACGCATTTAAAAAACGTTAAGGAACGGCCTCTGCATTTAACGGTAACTTCTGGTCATTTTTCTTGTAGAAATTGAAGCAAATTAGCTGCCACTCGAACCCCGAAAATCCGAAAAAGTAAAATGTACAGAATGGCTTATTTCAATAAAGACATGGTTCCTAAAATTTATTTCAAATCGGTGTTCGAATCATCCCGATCCGATACTTCTGCGTCGAATTAGCGGAGATGTATTTTTTATCTTCGTATTTTTATTGGGATTTTATTTAATTTATTGTTTTTATCCACCTGTAGTGGACCGATTCGTTTCCGTCCGTTTGATATTTTTACCCAAAATTCACTTTCTTATAACTCGTCTCTTTGTCGCATGTGCATTGAACATCAATACGGAAGCTTCTTGATGCCTTTTAATGAAACACGAAATTTTGCACGGAAGTTGCCTGTTTCATTCGCCTTGATACCCAAATTTTCAAAGCACATGAACGGCGTAGCAAAAAAAAAATTCGCGTACACCTTAAGTTTTTCGGTGGGATGACGTTCCAGTCAAATAACTTTTTCATGAAGCGTATGTACGGACAAACAACCGTTAAAAAACACTCACTGTACAATGAATTTTTGGTGAAATCGTTTTGTGTATCTACGCTTGGCTGCTGTGGATTACTCATGAAATCCAAGGGATATTACAAAATTCTAAGTCTATAAACCCCGTTAAAAATAATGTTTTTTCGAATTACGGGGAGAAACCGTTCCAAAATTATGTATTAAACTGTAATCTTCGTCTACAAACATACCAGAAAAATTTTTCAACAATTTCTTGAGCATTGGTCGAAATGCTACAACTACTACGGATGAGCATAATAATAAAAAAGCGCCGATAACCGGCTGGCGATTTTTTCATGTAACATTCTTTCTCAAATGTGGTGGGAAGGCAAATAAATACCTGGTGGTTCATCAGACGATCAAAAATAATTTTTTGCCCTCGAATAGGCAGCAGCGTGAAACGTGCTTTTCGTTGCGTCTATAGGTCTCCAAAATGTTCGGAAAGTCAATCTGGCTGGGAGGCTAGCTAGCAGAGAGCTTTTCGGAAACTTCAGCCTAGCTTGTTTGTGGTCATGTTTTCGAGCAACACACTCACTCCTCATGCTCAATGGCTTCCTCCTCTCTCTCTCTCTCTCTCTCTCTCTCACTCTCTCTCTCTCTCTCCATCTCTCGCTCCCCTCTGGCGGCCACTGCGACAATGAGGAAGATGGCCCCAAGGCATCGATTTGAAAGGCAAGAGACTGCGGGAGATGGAGAGGCCCAGGGAGTCGGAGCAAGAGAATAGGGAGCACGAGGGTCCGAGGCCTCTTTCTCCCTCTTCTTTTAGGTGCATCGTTTAGGGGCCCCTTTCCCTCAGGCTGGGCCCTTAGCCTTAGGGCCCACCTGGGCCCCAACCCAGGCCCGCTACCACCATCAGCATAACGTACCGGGTTTTGTTTTGAACTACGTTTTTATTTGGCTTCGATTTTAGCCAGTATTGATGTATTTTTTCGAGCTAGCCGTTGGTTTATTAGTTTCCTATCATTCATTTAGGCTATTGTGTGGTCTTGAAACCTATTTTTTAACCTTAACAACCGGACAATTAAATCGGCAGTTCCGTCGATCTCACGCTTTTTCTCTCCCTGCCTCTCCCTCGCTCTCTCTCTCCCTCTCTCTCTTGCTTTTATATCCATTCTTGAATGTTTATTTTTCCTACCTTCTATTGGAAAACTTTTGTGTTGGAAACACTGGACCGCCCGCATTTTTCATGTCATTGCTAAAAACTGAAACATTTTTCTTCAAGGATAGTCCGATAATGTCTATTTTCGCTTTCGCTCTATCTCTCTCTCCCTCCCCTCGCTGTCTCTCATCTTTTAATGGGTATTGATGCGAAAATCTCGTACCTCCAGAACTTGCTTTCTTTTGAAACACAATCCTTGATCGTCAACACCCAGCATAATCCTAATTTGACAGCCGTTTCCGCCAGAATCTCTGTTACCTTACCGTCTGACTGGAATTTGAAACCTTTTGACGATTTTGAAGCTTTCGTTTTTAGTATTGCCACATAATCTTAGTACCACATCTGCCCCAACTAGCCACGAAATTCCAAATTTGCTAAAAACCCCCCAGAAAAACTATCGAAAATGCATTCTGGTGGCGTTTTTCTCGCGGCTTCTCCTTCCCCTAAAAGCCCTCGAAAAAACAGAGCCCGAATACGGGTATATTGGCCCATATATCCGGCCCATTCTCATTCCGCTCCGATCCCCTGGACGTCATGCCGTAGCCCCGCGGAATCTCTCATTTGCCCCCTAGGAGGGCACACACAGGATGGCCCCCGATATTAGGTTTGCCCCCTCGACCCTCTGGGCTCTAGGAATCCACCGAATTCCAAAGCATTCCACCGTACACCACTGTACGGAGGGTTGTGGTTTGGAGTCGAACGGAATTTTGATACAGGACTGTTAGCGTGGGAACAAAATCTTTTCCAGTCCCGTGCGGCGCTACGGCAAAGTATACATTATTTCAGGGCATTTTAAACAATTTTTGGCTACAAATAGTTCATAAAAAAATCAAATTTTCGAAAATTCTTGACTTGTTGGACAAAATTTATGAAAAATAGCCTAAAACGGGCCAAATTTTCGAATTTTGAAAATTTTTAGCAGATTTTTTTACAACTTTATAGCAAGAAAAACTACGAAAAACGCTATAAAAATAGAGCCCTTATTAGCAGTAGGATTTGGCGAAAAAAAAATTCGCTTCCCGACGGTAAATTAAAGTGATTTTTCAAATCCGAAACACGACGCGCACGTGACGCGTCTAATTTTGCTGGCAGCCCCAAAGCCGATTTTTAGGGTTCTAGCAAACCACCGAGTTCCAAAAATTGATATATGAAATAGTGAAACGGGCGGTGAATCTTACAAAGGCCCCTTGCTGATGAAAAGCTATCGCGCGCCCCTGCGCCCTAACTACAGTACCCCACGCCACCGAGCCCCCATTACGCCAGCCTATTGCTTTCCTTTCCAAAAACCAAAAGTGAGGAGAAAGAAGCAGAAATCAAAGTAAAGAATTGGTATGCTTGAAATAAGGTTATAATGGCGCACTTTCCAAAGCCTTGCTTTCGTATTGCCGCAAATTCTGGGCGTGAGCTCCTACAACACCAATCACGCTTTCAACATTCTCACGCACGAAGCAGGATGGAATGGAGCTTCGTCCGTTGTTCGATGTTGCTTCCGGAAGTTGAGGCGCGATAGATATTAGCGGGTAACGTTTTTGTTACCTAAAGAAGAAGCCAAAGATGTGGAGAGAAAAAAAGCCGCGTTGCTTGCGGCTTTGCCAGATCCTTATAAACTTACTCGACCTTATTTTTATATTTTCATATGGCATCATCGTAGAACTAGGAATCGATTTTAGTTGCGCAATAATTACTTCGAATTCTGAAATATACGAAGTCAATGCTAACAAGAAGAGTAGGATGAGGGTTTCAGGTACTGTAGTTAGGGCGCAGGGGCGCGCGATAGCTTTTTTATCAGCAAGGGGCCTTTGTAAGATTCACCGCCCGTAATAGTGAAGGACGGACTGCATGAAAAGCACCGTACGCGCTCGATTGTATTGATGAAACATTTGGTTGAAAAAAATTGAGCCGAAGTCCAGTCAGGTTTTTACATTAATTTTAAAAAGATTATGGTGTAGGTACATGAATAATGTATTTTTTAAATGTTAAAATCATTATATAGCTGCATCAATTATCTTTACCTTGTCTGATACCAAGGCATTCCACAGTCTCTTTTCCCGGGGTTGTCCATTGGCATCAAACGGAATTTTTTCGGTTTTGAAGGCTTTTTCAGACGACGATTTTTTATTTTACCAACCACCCAATTTTATTTGCCCAAAGCGACCCTCGGAAATTGTTGAAGTGCGAGTGCAGCGGACCGGGAATACTGGCGAAACATTTTTTGCAGAAATTTACCTTTATTTTTTCGCGAAATTTGACGCAAAATCCTTTAATAATTGACACTTTAAGAGTATTGAATGGACTCTCTTTAAAAGATATTTTGCAAGTCACCACGCTCAGTGCGTTACTAAGCCCAATGTACACTCGATATGTCGCATCTACCGTATTTCCATTGGGGTTTCTCGATAGTTTTAGTTTCCTAGAGTGATTACATTCTTTTACCTATCCACAATCAAATGACATAAAATGGCGTCTTTTGATAATTCACGTTTTCCTATTTGTAAGAGAATGTTTTACTGTTTTAGGTTGTCAAAGACGGAGCTTTTAGGCCAATGGTCCTTTCTCCTCTAACGCTTACTCCTGAAAAATCGTAACACTAGCCACCACACCTCTGCCAAATTTTCCCGAGGACCCCCGGAATTTCCCTTCCGCCTTGCCACACATAAACAATTAAGCGCGCTTTTTGGGGTGGAATTTCGCCTGGCGCCTCCTTAAATTTTCTATTTACGAAGCTCCCGTGGGATTTTGGCTAGTTTTGGTTATGGGCGAATTTCGAGATATCCAGGACGTATCAGAGATTTCTGCGGAATTTTAAGTATTTTGTAACTTCACGGAATGTTAGCTCCACAGTTACTGTAATCTAGAGGACGC